TCCCAATCTGTAAAATGTGTTATTTCAATGAATATGAAATTTTAAATTTACACAATGCTTTGAAACTCAAATAAACCAACAAAATACTATGATAGGTATATGGGTTGGTCTCCACTTCTCTCCATCACCCTCCCATACCCTATTGCTACCCTTGGTCCTCCTCAAAAAAAAGCTACTCTTGGAAACAGCTGCACTTCAAAACCAGCCAGATCTGTATTCAAGTCAGATTTCTGCCACATACTATCCATGAAATCGTGGGCAAGTTATTTAATTTTCTAAGTCTTAATTTCCTCATCTATATAATGGAGAGACTAGCAGTGTCTATTTCATTGGGGGGTGGATGAGGTTTAAAATAAAACGAAGCAGCTGAAATGTTTAGCGTGATGCATAGTTCATAATAAGTATATAATAAATGCTACTTCAGGAAAGAATCAGATATCTTTTCTTGATAATAAGTTTAACAACCGCTTATTGAATACGGTCTAGAAATAGATCTACACATATATAATTTCATGATTAATGTCATGAAATTATAATAAGTTTAATTATAATAAGTTAATAAGTTTAAGTATTAACTTTTTAATAAATTGTTCTGGGTCAATTGAATAATGTGGTAAAAAAAGTGTTGATTCCTTCCTCACATAATAAAAGCCAGTTTCAAAGAAAATATAGGAAAACATCATCATGATATTTTTTAATATCTTCCTTTGGGCAGGAAAATTTTTATTAGAACACACAAAGAGCTAAGCATAAAGGAAAAAAATAAATTAAGGACTTCTGTTCATTTACAACAATTTAAAATGAAAAGTTAAGTCACAGAGTGGGAGAAAATATTGCAGTATGCATATTCCACAAATTATCAAATTATATAAAGACCTTTAAAAATCATTAAGTAAAAGGCAGAAACTCAATAGAAAAATTAGCCAAAGACTTGAACGGACAGTTCACACACACACCAAAAAAAAAAAAATAAAGATATCTAAGTGGCCAAGGCACATGAAACAAAGTGTCCATCTTTACTAGTTATCAGAGAAATGTAAATTAAGAACACAGTTACACACCCACCAAAATGGCTAAATGAAAAAGAAAAATCTAGTGCTGATGAAGATATGGCATGACTATAGTTCTTGTATGTTGCCAGTGGGAGTGTAAATTGGTACAACCACCTTGGAAAAGTTGTTCAATAGTACCTACTAATACGGAACATATACGTCCTATTTCTCATATATTCCACTCTCCAGCATATTTCGAACAGAATAGTGTACATATGTTCATCAAAAGACTCATTCTACAAAGCATTAGTTATAAATAACAACAATATTTATGTCAAAAACTAGAAGCAACTGAAATGTCTTATCAGCAGTAATCTATCTGTTATAAGTTAGGACAGTGGTTTTCCTGATGGGTGTTAAGGGAAGGTGACTGGAAGTGGGCACAAGACAGTGGTGGTGGTTGGCGGGGATGGTGCTTCTAAGGAAATGGGAATGTTCTATCTCTTTTTTTTTTTAAGTGAGGCAACGCTTGGTTGACCTCATAGATTGCAAGGACCTTATCATCTTACAATCCCTTATCTTTTTTTTTTATTTTTTGTGCCTACAGCACCTGGTCTTCCTAGGTTGTCTCCCATCCAAGTACTAACCAGGCCTGCCCCTGCTTAGCTCGTGAGACCAGACAGGATCAGGCTCGTTCAGGGTAGCATGGCTGTAGACTGGGAATGTTCTTAATCCTGGCATTCAGTACATGAATGGTTCATTTACACCTATGATTTGTGCATTTTTATGTATGTATGTTATACTTCAATAGAAAGTTTATACTTAAAAATTTAACTCTTCCTAGAGATTTTGAAAACTTTGACTCCAACTGGTAAATGGAAGTGTTGGCAATTAAAGCAATTTCAGGTGTGACAGAATAGGTTGGGGAGTAGATAGGTGGGATTTCCTGGGGCCTTGGAAATTATGCCACATAAATGCTTACATAGTCAAAGACAAATTTCCTGTAAGCACTGAGATGGAGGCAGACAAGGGGCTCTGTAAGTATTGAGAAAGACTCTAGTCAGCACCCAAAGTACTGAAAGCGCCCAGGCCTTGAAAACTTGGCAAGGTCAGCTTGTACTTCTTATACATTTAAAAGCCAGGATCTGGCAGAAGGCAGGTCCACAACCTCTGTTCAGTCCATGAATAGAGACACAGTCTAATAGCCATCTTTTGCCAGGTCAGTCACTTGCTTGTGTGAGTGCCTGAAGGAGGATGCCAGAGCACGATTATTGTGATTAGGTGAACACTTGGAAGCAAAATGGAAAGACAGCAATATGCCAATTAGTCAAATGAATTGATTGCCATTTTTAGGTCTGTTCCCAGGAGGCGAGAACCGAGACAGGATGTCTATAAAACCCCTCTTGGAGGCAGTTGTGGATAAAGAGCTTTGTGATTAAAAGATAGGGAGACACTTACCAGGTCAGATGAGATGAGAAGCAGAGACCAGAAACACTAAATATTTCTGGAAAACTGATGCTCTAATTTTTTTGTCATTTAATATCTATGGGTATAAAGATTTCATGCCTCACTCAGCAATGTGCAAAGTGGAGAGACTCATGAGAATAATTAAGGTTGATAGATACTATATCTCTGGATCCATCTTCAAGGACTGTCTGGCCTTGGCCTATAATAATGGAAAAGATATAATCCCCCGCATCAAGGTTCAAGCTCTAGGTGGGACACAGACACAAAAATAGGTCATTATGCTACAGTGCTGTGGGCAGTGATACGGATAGTTCCAGAAGGCTATGGAAATACCACGGAGGAGCTCCTAGCCCTGAGAGAAGGAAAAGAGGAAACACTTGGGAGACAGAAGACTTCATGTTCATGTTCAAAATGGTTAAACCACAGGTTTAACTCTGTGCTACAAATTGCACTGACTTTGCATCACAAGGGAAGGGAGGTATATCCTCCTAGGCCTGCCATATTCGACAATGACCCAGAGCCTCTTTTTCTTATAAGGTATAAGCAAGCACC